TAAAACGCTAAAATGATTTTAATTTCGTTTTGTTGTTTTATTTTAGCTCATTGACCAATGCAGGAGCAAGGATGGCCGAGCGGTTAAAACGCCGGTCTATCACCGCTGTGGTCCTGGTTCGATTCCTGGTCCGGGACTATATGTGATTTGAGTTTGTAGGCTGGTTCTCTTCCTTGCTCCGAGGGTTTTCTCCAGGTCCACTGGTTTTCCTCCCTCAGTCAAAAACTAGCTGTGAGGAGTGTCGTGTAGTAAAATAATGAATGTTGAGGTAGTGAGTGTGAGTGAATATATATAGAGGGCCACAAGTTTATTAGTCTAGAGACTATTACGTGCTACCCTCTCAAAATAAAAGACTTTATTTATTTATTTAGGATGTGAATCGATATCAGTAAACAGCCAACAGCGTTTCTATTTTACGTTTTACTTTATGCGTATTCAATGCGGGATGACAAGAGTGCTTTCTAAAGTGATTCACGCATGATCAGTCTGCCCCATTTATCTCAAAACTCATTTTTTCGTCAATTTATCCGAATAAGAATTATAAGAATTTTAACGGATTTGAGTTTCAAATTAGCTAGTGTTGACGTTTTTGAAGCCGTTTAAAACACACTCTCTCGTGATTTAAGCTGTACTTTGTTTTATCCATACCACGCCCATTCCTTATGTAACTGCCGATTTCTACGTCGATCTTTACTAAGCGCTAGGTGGTTCTTACCTTAAGACGTTTTGACAATTCTTTGGATTTTCTGTAAAGTGKCGTTTTGTTGTTTGATACTCGGTATCATGAGCAACTGTTTCCCACGAAGTTCGTTCCAGAATTTCAAAAACCTGCGTAGCCAGGCGTTCCTAGCCGCTCCGAGAAAGCTTGGGCCGGAGACCAGATGGGAACTCGTCCACGAACGGTTGGTCATTGGTCAGATGGGATAGTGATTGACAGCTGTTTTTAAYGAATATGTTTTAGAAGGCCAAGAGATACATGTTATTCGTCGCTTAATTTATAAAGCAGATCAATTTAAGAGCTGAAATCATTGGTATTTTGAAAGAACTACACTGTGTGATTAGATAATTAAAAAACTCATACATAATTAATGAGCTACTAGGCCAATAGAATGAGCCTATTTGGTCACATGCATGGACCTTTATATCTGATAAAACACTCCTTATTATAGTATTCTTTATATAAAGAATACTAATAAGGGTGACCTTTATCAGATATAAAGGTCCATGACCCTAGCAAAGGTCTCAGGTTTGAAACCTGATCATTGACCAATGCAGGATGTCAACCGATTTCAGTGAACAGCCAAGAGCG